CAGCTGGTTCTGGTTGTCAGCAGCAAAACTGGTTGATCCACTCTGAGAAGGTGCTATTTAAGAGACTGAGCTGAAAACAGCACCTCAGACTGAAGAAGTCTCTTGGATGAGAGACGAAACGTTTCTACATTTTTTTGCTTTTTTTTTTTTTTTTTTTTGTATGTCCAGAGGACCAGATTGAACTTTTTTGGATAGGTTGTTGAGAGTTTTGTAGGTTAAAAGTAAGCTTTGAATTCAGTTCTGGACTTGACGGGGAGCCAATTGAAAGAAGCTAAAACTGGAGATATATTATCTCTCCTACTAACGAAAGTAATGCATGTAACTACAGTTCTATGAATCCCAGATGACCGCCAGAGGGCAGTCCTGAAAGCACTGAATGTTCCCTGTGCGCTCAGGGTGAACGATTGTGTATGAAGTCTGAACCCTCTGCGTAATGTGCGCACAGTTTCCGCGTGGCTGAAAGGACGCGCAAGTATACTGGAACCTTTAGCCTCCCTAGTAAGGTCTATTCATGGGTACTGGAGAAGCGAGTTCGATTGTTGGTTGAATCTCAGATCAAGAGGAACAATGTGGGTTCCGTCCTGGCCGTGGAACACTGGATCAGCTCTTTACCCTCACTAGGGTCCTCGAAGGATCATGGGAGTTTGCCCATCCAGTCTACGTGTTTTGTGAACTTGGAGAAGGCATTCCACCATGTTCCTTGAGGCACACTATGGGGGGTGCTCAGTGAGTATGGGATTGGGGACCCGTTGTTATGGGCTGTTCAGTCCCTATACAAACAGTGCGAGAGTTTGGTTCAAATTGCCGGCAGTAAGTCGGACCGCTTCAAAGTGGAAGTTGGACTCTGACAGGGATGCCCGTTGTCACAGATTCTGTTCATAACTTTTATGGACAAAATTTCTTGGTGCCGTCATGTGGTGGAAGGTTTCTGGTTCGGTGGCATCAGGATTCCATCTCTGCTTTTTGCAGATGATGTGGTCCTGTTGGCGTCATCGTGCCGTGATCTTCAGCTCTCACTGGAGCAGTTGGCAGCAGCGTGTGGAGCAGCTGGGATGAGAATCAGCACCTCCAAATCTGAGGCCATGGTCCTCAACTGGAAAAGGTGGATTGATCTCTTTGGGTCGAGGGGAGGTTCTGCTTCAAGTGGAGGCGTTCAAGTATCTCAAGAGTTTTGTTCATGAGTGAGGGAAGAATGGAGTGTGAGATTGACAGACAGATTGGTGCAGCATCTGCAGTATCATGGACTCTATACTGGTCCGTTGTGGTGACAAGAGTTGAGCTGTAAGGCAAAGCTCTCAGTTTACCGGCAGTCTATGTTCCTACCCTCACCTATGGTCACGAACTCTGGGTAGTGACTGAAAGAATGAAATTGTGGATACACGAGTTAAAATGAGTTTCCTCCGCAGAGTAGCTGGATTCTCCCTTAGAGATACGGTGAGAAGTTCAGTTATCCAGGAGAGACACAATAGAACCGCTACTCCTCCATGTCAAGAGGAGTCAGTTGAGGTGGTTCGGGTATCTGGTAAGGATGCCCACTGTTCACCTCCCTAGGGAGGTGCTTCAGACATGTCCAACTGAGAGGAGATCCCGGGAAAGACCCAGGACATGCTGGAGAAACTATGTCTCTCGGTTGACCTGGGAATGCCTTGGAATCTTCCCAGAAGATATGGAAGAGGTGGCTGTGGAAAGACATGTCTGGGCCTCCCTGCTCAGGCTGCTGCCCCCGCGACCCGACTTCGGAATAAGCGAGGGATAATGGAAGGATGTTTTATCAGTTTTTCTAGAACCTTGGCTAAAATGCAGAGTTTGGAGATTGGTCAATAAATGTTCAGTGAGGTGGGGTCACCTCCCTTCAGCAAAGGTAGAACAAAGGCTGTTTTCAAAGTGTCTGGAATGGAGTTTTGTCTTATGGACAAGATGTGGGCCACAGGGATTGCGATGATATGAGCGGCCAGCCTTAAGAAATAAGGTGGAAGTTCATCTGGTCCTGCAGATTTTTAGAGTCTAGACCTATTAATTTATTAACCTAGTAACTGAGAACGGTGAAAATGAAAAGGTTTGATTTATTCAAGATTGACTTGTAGGAGGGATTTGATTCGAAGAAGTTTGGCTTAAAGGAGAAGTGGTTGATTTTCCATTACATTATAGCGGCAGCAGCTGCAATGTATGCCTCCAGTGCCCTCACTTGGCACAATAACCCAGACCTATCACCAGTCCCTCCTGATGTAGGCTGAAAATGTGTCAGCCTCAATGGCACGTTGGCTCAATTGGATTAACCTGTATAAATAAAGGTTGAATTAAGAACACCGTTAGTTCAATCAAAAACGCTGATCTCAAGTTGGCTAAAATTGGGAGAGGGGGCAAGACGCTACCGTCACCAATTAAGGTACGATACCAAAAAGGAGAGGCTAACACAGTTAGCTCAACCCAGAACCCCAATCAGAAAGTTGGCTAAAATTGGGAGGAGGCGAGATGCTACAGTCACCAATTTAAGCAAATAGCGGAACAATGAGTGAGCACCCTCGGGGAGGGAGAGAGGCCGAACAGGAGTACCTGGAATTGCCATTGGCGACCCAGTTAGGCAAACCTGAGAAAGCGGCAGTGTTCTGCCGCAACAGGTACATGAAAGTATGCATTTTTCAGGTCTATTGATGTAAACCACTCTCCCCTTGCAACAGCTTGAAGAATCTCTGCCGTGAAAGGGCAGCACCTTTAAATATCTATTGAGTTCCCTCAGATCCAAAATGGGAAGAAACCCGCCTGTCTTCTTCGGGACGTGGAAGTATGTTGAATAGTAGCCTCTGGGTTGCAGCAGAGGATCCACTGCCTCTATTGCTCTCTTGGCCAGTAGGGCGGAAAGCCCCATGTCTGGTGCTTGAGCTTCCACTGGGTCTGCGATTACAGCCACCTTGACCCAGCGTGAGATGTGAGGCCACCGTCGGAACTGTAGCTGGTAAATATGAGTCGAGTGGCAACCACCCATGGATCCACAGCATGAAGATGTGAAGGACCCCACTCACCCAGCACACACACTTTTTGCCCCACTCCCCTCAGGAAGGAGGTTAAGGAGCATTAAGTGTAGAACCACTAGACTGAGGAACAGCTTCTACCCTGAGGCTGTTGGACTCATGAATCTCTAACTAGAATAATCACTGTGAAAAAACATATGTTGCTGCTGATCTGTTTCATGTTGCTGCTGATCTGTTTCAATGTTGATGTGTTCATGCGTGCACATCTGCTCACAGACTCATGTTCATGTTTGTGCTGATGTTCAATGTTTTATGTTATGAGTGCTTAGTGTATATTTAGTAGATGTTTTTCTTAGTTCATATCTTAGATGTTATTACTGTTTTTCTTATACATTTTATTGTTGGATGTAACTGGGACCCTGTGTACATAATTTCGCTCCACCACATGTACCACATGAGGTGCGAATGACAATAAAGAAACTCTGACTCTGACTGACTGACTCTCTCTGAAGAGCCCAATAACTGAGCTGCTGATGAGAAAAATATCTAATAGTCAGCCTGGTGACAGTTTATTTCTCCACGGCCCCTAAGGGTCCCGGGGGGTGGGGGGTCAGCGTTTATGGTCCGAACGTCTGGCTGGTTGGCTGACTTTTTTCATTCAAGCTTTATTTATACAGGTTAATCCCATTGAGCCTCTATAAATAAAGGTTGAATGGATTAACTCACAAAACTAACTCACAGTTCCAGGAACTCGTCTTAAGCGCAGAGGTGACAGGGCCTTCTCTGTAGCAGGACCAAGACTCTGGAACGAGTTACCTCTGCTTGTCAGACAGGCCCCTCCCTCTTGGTTTTCAAGTCCCGTTTAAAAACCCACTACTATTCAGTAG